CAATGAGATTACCTTAGAGCCACGCTGTCTTTTCCAAATGAAATAGTGACCAGTGGACCTTGTCAAGAAAGAACAAAACAGATTTGCTTCAACACAATACAGAAGGGGTGGAGGTAGGTGGGGAGGTAGAGGTAGAAGAAGCTTGGCATCTAGATGATAAATGCTGATGAGACACTGGATGATGGACATATGAGACTTCTTTACACTTCCTTTCCTTTATGTTTAAGAATTTCAATAATACAAACTTTTTGTTGATTGGCTTGTTTTTAAGAATGAACCAAATGCACTCCTGCCAGCCTCAATCTTGTTTGGACAGAAACTCTATTTGAGAACTTCTCAGCAGTTAGTCAACAGTTTAACTTAATGAAGCACAATTTTCCCCAATTTTGCTTGTGAAGCTTTTACATTTGTGCAAAAAAACATTTTTCATAAGTTATATCACATTTTAATCAAGATTACTAAAATTTAAACAATGTGGAAATGTGTTAGAAGTATACTCTAAGGCCGTGAAGTTGGCTGGGTGTGGTGGCTCACACCTATAATTCCAGCACTTTGGGAGGCCAAGGTAGGAGGATCACTTGAGCTTCAGGAGTTTAAGACCAGCCTGGGTGACAGTGAGACCCATTTCCTAAAAAAAGAAAAGAAAAGAAAAAAAGATGCAGTATCATTCATCTAATTTGTCTATGATGGAATTTATCTGAGCCCTTCATCTTAAACTTTAAGAGTGACAATAAAAATTTCTTCCTTGAAACACAATAAACCATAGAGCTGACAGATAACTTTTTTTAATTGAATATGTAAACTATATCCAATGTTTGCCATTCCATTACTTTTTTTTTTTTTTTTTTTTTTTTTTTTTTTTTTTTTTTTTTTTTTGAGACAGAGTCTTGCTCTGTCACCCAAGCTGGAGTGCAGTGGCTTGATCTTGGCTCAAGGCAACCTCCACCTCCTGAGTTCAAGCAATTCTTGTGCCTAAGGCTTCTGAGTAGCTGGGATTACAGGCATGCACCAGCTACCTGTTTTGCCATGTTGGCCAAGCTGTTCTTGAACTCCTGGCCTCAAGTGATCAGTCTCCCAAAGTGCTGAGATTACAGGTATGAGCCACCAGTATCCCCGGCCCCATTCTACTATTTTGAAAACAAAAATATTTTGTTTGTTTTTTTAGGATACTGATTTTGCAATGTCACATTTGGAGGTTTAACTTTTTAAATACCATCTTTTCAACTTTCTATACTGAAATAAAAACACATTATTATTAAATGAAGCCAAGAAGACACAAAATAGCTTTACACTAAAGCAGCAGTTTTCAAAGGAGCATAATTTATCCCCACCTGCAACCTGCAGAGGACACTTGGAAATGTCTAGAGACATTTTTGGTTGTCAAAACCTGGGGGGTGTCACTGGGAACTAGTAGCCAGGGATGCTGCTAAACATTGTGCAATGCACAGGAGAGTCCTCCACAACAATAAATTATGTGGCCTAGGGCCAGGAGCAGTGGTTGACACCTGTAATTCCAGCACTTTGGGAGGCTGAGGTGGGCAGATCCCTTGAGGCCAGGAGTTCAAGACCAGCCAGGGCCTATATGGTGAAACCCTATCTCTACTAAAACACAAAAATTAGCCAGGCATGGTTGTGCACTTCTGTAATCCCAGCTACTCAGGAGGCCGAGGCAGGAGAACCGCTTGAACTCGGAAGGCAGAGGTTGTAGTGAGCAGAGATCATGCCACTTTCCCTCCAGCCTGGATGACAGAGCAAGACTCTGTCTCAAAAAAATAAAATAAAATAAAAAATTGTGGCCCAGAAAGTCACTAGTGCACTAGTGCTGAGATTGAGAAACTCGGGTCTGGAGTAACGTGAGAGTGCCTGGAACCATTCACCATGGTTGTCACTCCACAGAGAAGGCCATCGTTTTACCCAGCTGGCACAACTGCATGAGTCAGTGTTCCAGGCTTTATGATGAGGGAATCCCTACAGGGGCCTAAGAATGCATCCTCAGTAGGCACGTAATATGCATTAGCCTTTGCATTTTGTTGCCAGCAATCACGTTGCCTATACCACAATTTTCTACTTTTTTGCTTTTAATCTTTTGTGACAAATATGTTTTTTATTGAAATGTTTACCAGTCTGATTTATTCGGTGCGGTGCAATATTGGGCTTTCTAAAAGCACTTGGATGATTTATGGACCCAGTTAAAACAGAATGAAATCCTGAGATGTATGGAGAAGGGGCTGGGAGAGGGGAGTGCCTGTTGGGGAGTTCAGAAGCTGGGTCACCCAGGAGGCTACACTAGAGGATATAAAAACTCATGAAACCCAGGGAGCTGTGAGGCCAGCCAGATTGGACTGGGGTCTGCTTCCCTAATCTAATTCTAGGGGATTTCACATGAATTCTTCAAATGGGCTAGGCAACTGCTGTGGGGAATTCTCCAGTGGGACCCCTTTGTATGTTTCCCTCTAGAATGAAAGGGAACTAGTGCTGAGGACCACAGGAACTTTTGAGGGTGGCAAGAAAATCAAAGACTCTCAGCTTCTATTCTCATTTCTAATTCACCTAGAAAAGTATCTCATCAAACAGTGTCACTGGGTACTAGTAACCTTTCTATAGGAGTACAGTCTTCTATCGATTCTCAGTGGCTCTCAACTATGGATGCACCTTACAATTAAATCAGGGAGCTTAAAAAAATCCCAACACTTAGTCCTCATCATATAAAAATGAAACCAGAATTTTTGAGAGTGGTGGGTGATGGAAAAAATGGGAACCGTGCTTGAAGAACAGAATCACAATTGCACCTCTAATTTTGGGAAATGTGTACTCTGAAAGTGCCCTTAAAATACATGCCTCTGTGTGTGTGTGTGTTTGTGTGTGTGTGTGTGCGCGCACACACACGCGATATTAAAGTTTATTTAAAGATCATGTTGTTAAAGACTGTCATCTTTGAAATAAAAAATTTAAAAATCCTGGAATGAAGATCCATCATACGACACAGTGACTATAGTTAATACTGTATATTTGAAAATCACTGAGAGAGATAAGTGTTCTCATCACAAAAAAATGATGTGTGAGGTAGTTCATAAATTAATTAGCTCAATTTAGCATCCTACAAAGTATCCGTATTTCAAAACATCATGTTGTATATCATAAATACAGTTTTTGTCAATTAAAATTTATGAAAATGCTGGAAGAAGCAGTTCTCTTCAACACAAAAGGGAGTACTAAGAATTAACATCTTTGGAGAAGACATCAGAGGATGAAATATTAATTTTGAGGATGTTATCAGAATGACATGGAAACATGAAGATGGAAACACCATGAAAGGTTGCCAGTGAATTTCACAGGGACCCTTAGGGAATACCAAAAATGTCCAGTTTTAAAAATTAAAATGGCCCCCAGCTTTAACCTTCTAAAAACGAAGCTAGAAAAGGGTGGGATGAGATTTCTAATATTGAAACCAATGAAGAGGAAAATTGGGTTATGTGTTTGATCTACCACTGGACTGACTTCGTAAAAGGCTCTAACAAAATAACTACATTGAAATACTGAGAAGAATGAAGGTCCTCAGTGAGCTAGGAGGGTTTATAGGAAATGGTTTTGGCATACACTTTTTTTTGGTTTAAAAAAAATGCTGCTTTTGATAAAAGGCAAAACAGTCAGAAATGATAGTTTTCATGAAAGCCAATGTTTGCAAAGAAATCTGAAGGTCCAGTAGAGTTTGGGCATCATCTTCTGGCATAACATGTCTACCTTAGAATGCAGGGAATTCATTCATGGTATTTTCAAAGTAGACTATGGACTTAGTTTTTTTGACATAAATTTTCATCTTGCCTTACCTTGTGGAAATTCTGGTATATGAAGTTCCAGCATGTGTGTGAGATGATCCTAGGAAATGGAAAAAATATCACAGCTTTTTTCTTTTTCTTTTTCTTTTTTTTTTCTTTTCTTGATACAGGGTCTTGCTCTGTCACCCAGGTTGGAGTGCAGTATTACACCACAGCTCACTGCAGCCTTGACCTCCCAGGCTTCGGTGATTCTCCCACCTCAGCCTCCTGGGTAGCTGGGACTAATGGTGCATGCCACTGCGCCCAGCTAATTTTTCTTTTCTTTTAGAAATGAGGTTTCTCCATGTTGCCTAGGCTGTTCTCAAACTCCTGGGCTCAAATGATCCTCCCACCTTGGCCTCCTGAAGTGCTGGGATTACAGGTGTGAGCCACTGCACCTCATCAACATAGCCTTTAAAGTCATCGACATTATATGAAAACAAACAACAAAATCGCCAAAGTGCCTGTTTCTTTACTCATAATTCCGCTTGTTGAAGTTGAATTTTCTTCAGCAAACTCACAGAGGAATGTTTCTTGAACACGCACTAAACAACCAAAAATAATATTTTTCTGATCAAGCTTGGTAATTAACACAGCAAACTCCCATACACTTATGGGATACATTAGCCCAAGGAGTAAAATCACAATATGCAATCATAAGCCCAAGTTGAGTCAGTAACTACAAAATGGACAGTTTCTGTGTTTGGAAATGGTTGGTGGGTTGGCATGGGCAAGTTTAATCAGTTAAACACATTTCTTAAGTTGTTTATTTGCGACGTTGAAACCATTTACAATACTTGGTGGGTTTTCAAGGCCAGTCTATGTTGGCATCACTGTGTGGTAGCACCTAGCACCCTGCCTAACCACCCAGGACACACTCCCATCACTATCTGCCAAGTCAATACACTTCAGTTCCATGAGTCCATTCCTGATTACAATCAGTTTTGCATGGCAACATTTTCCTTCATGCTCCAAGATCTTGCTGATTTATGCATTATTTTTTGAACCACCTTAAAATCCATGCAACAGATTTTATTATTTAACAGATTACATACAGAATTCTGCTGTATGTAAAATGAAAATGCACACCATCTTTGGGGCTATTTTACCAACTTTGGGGTCTTTATCCATGTTGAAACGTAGCCTATTTAGAAATCTGCTGATAATAAAAACTGACAACAATCGTGACAAAAATAAGGATATAATATTAAAATAAATCAAATGATATACAGTACTGTCATTATTCTGATACAGAATTTTTACACAGCAATATTGATACAAGTACAAACGGCAATCCATTACAATTGACCTCTCAGTTACAAACAAGGTTTAAATTACAACTTAATACCAATTTAAAAATGGTAATTAGTGTTATGCCAGATTAAAATAAATACTTCCTCTTCAAGTGACATTTTCTAGAATATCTCTTAAGTAGGAGACCAAAAAAAAAAAAAAAAAAAAAAACTTTATGAAAAGAAAAAGAAGTTAATCTTTTATTTTTAGAAAAACCCAAATCTAGAAATCTGGACTAAATTAATTTGGCTTTCCATTCCTTCTGTCCACACACTAGCCCAGAAACTGAGGTGAAGTCCTCTTGGTGTGACAGGTTTAGCAAGGTTCCGGCAGCACTCCCAGCCTCTGCTGCATGAGAGGAGTTTGGAGCGTCTAGTTCAAATATACACTCTTTTAACTATTTAAATAGCAGGCAAAAAGCTGGATTCCCATCAGTTTTCTGCCATCAAACTCGAGGAGATAAACCCTCCACTTTAAAATGCAAGAGGAGGGAAGAGAAATGGAGAAAAATAAAGCAAGGACCTTGAAGTTCTTTGAGGTGGAAAAGGCAAGAGACCAAAGGTTGTATATGTGTGGTGGGGCACAAATGGGGCTTGGAGTGGTGAGAAAACGAAGTTTCTTTAACAAAATAATCAAATTCTTATTTTCCTCATTTTTGTGAAAATAAGTACATTTTTGACATAAAAAAAAAAAAAAAGTCAAAGCCAACCGAAACACAAACAGGGAAATGAGAACCAGTTCCATAATGCCTTACACTTTAAATTTCTATCCAAAATTAAAATTCTCTTTGGATTAAAAGAAATCATGTAAAAATCAAAGATAAAAATGTGACTTGGAAAGTTGAGGAAGCAAGAGCATTTCTTTCTGGCACATTCTTTGTTTGGCACAATCACAAATAAGACTTTACAGATAAGATGTGACTGTTCACATTTGGTTTCTACTCTAGAGTGATTACTTTCGGGCTAAACAAATGAATCGGTTAAATGAAGTCCGTAAACATGCCAAGCCTGGCAGACATGGGCAAGTGTGATGCATCCTCCGCCCCAAAAACGGAACCTAAACAAAAAAGAACATGGATTCAGAGCTGGAAATGTTTCAAAAACAAACAAACCCAACCATTCTTGAGACAGCTCTTTAAAGAACAATAACTAGTGTTTACTGAGTGTTAGCTACCCATGAGGCAATATACTCAGTACTTTTTACTTACTTATTACCTATTATGTATTTTTGAGGTAGAGTCTCAAAAATGCCTGCTCTGCCTTCCAGGCTGGAGTGCAGTGGTGCAATCTTGGCTCACCGCAACCTCCGCCTCCTGTGTTCAAGCAGTTCTCCTGCCTCAGGTTCCCAAGTAGCTGGGATTACAGGTGTGCACCACCACACCCAGATAATTTTTGTAGTTTTAGCAGACACGGGGTTTCACCATGTTGGCCAGTCAAGTCTCAAACTCCCAACCTCAAGTGATTGGCCTGCCTCAGCCTCTCACTCTCAAACTGCTGGGATTACAGGCATGAGTTACCATACCCGTCCTGCTCAGTACTTTTTATATGCTATCCTTTCCCATTCTGACAATCACCTTGTAAAGACGGCAAGCACTTTAATTATGCCCATTTTACAGATGAGAGGATGAGGCAGAGACTGGTATATTGCCCAAGGTCACTTACCTAAAACTTGAAGCTTGGCTAGCAGTGGACCTGAGAGACCAAGCTTTTAGTCCTCAAGCGGTACTACCTTTTACTTTTAATCATTTATTTCAGCTCCTTAAGCTTGAACCTGGAATCATGGGCATGACCATGTCTATGCAATGAACAAATATAAACTCACCATCATTGAGTAATATTTAAGTTCATACATTTACACACAGATGCCAGGAGTCAAAATGCTCAGAAAAAGACTTTAAAAGGAACAGAGGAAAATCAGGAAGGAGGCAAGTTCAGTCTGCATAAATGGAACAAACCATGTAGGAATGAAAGGTCTGCTTCACTGGAGAGTCACTCTAAGAGCCCAGCCCATGTCACCAGTCAAGCTGGGTTGAGGAGGGTCAACCAACAGCGAGCGTGGTGGTTCTCTGTGCAAGTGGCAAATGGTGTACACTCCAAATACACATGCTTTCTAGAATAAAGACAGCAAATGTTATTTTCCCTCCCCTAAGGCACAGCACATTCCTGAGAATCTGCCTGTGTTACAGGTAATATGGAGAAAGTGTAACCCTAGGTCTGGAGCATCTGTGAAACTGGATGGCAAGCGACTCTGATTCGGGTTAAAGTGAGAGAGATGAGTGACTACAGACTCATGTCTCAGAGATGCTTCCATAGCTTCAACATGGCAGAGGATGTGTTCTTCTTGCTCCCAAACTCAAAAGCTTTACTCAACATCATTCTAGTGTAGTTCTTATTCTGTTCCACCAAAAGAGGTCATCCCACCTCAATGATCTGTCCTTATGAGAAAATCCAAAATGCATCTTTTAGATGTCTTCCAGATAGATTTTCTCTGTATGTATCATGTAGATATTGATACAGATGACCGAAGCTGTCTACAGACAGTGACAGAACCATTCTAACCTTATTTTGGGGCTGAACTGATAGGACACACCCAACTCTATGGTAGTTCAACAATGTAAAGGCTAATTCTTCGGGGCATGCCTTTCGGTGGTACCACACTCACATTCTTCTTACCTCCTTTTTCCTTTTTCTTCTCTTCCTCTTTCTTCTGTCCTGCCTTCCATTTTCAAAATTGTTCTGGAAGGGCCAGGGAGATGATTGAGATCAATAAACACAAAGGGAAGGAAAAGAGGCAATGGGAGGGCAGGTGTATATGCAGTGAACTGGCAGAGCAAGATCTAGCCGAGCCATTGCGTTTCCTCTGCCCTTCTGCTACGTCATTACTCCCCAGGTTCTAATGACAGCATCTACATGCAGGCATGTTGGCCACTGGATTAATATAGACTTGTGCTCAGAATGGTTCTGTCACTGTGTGAGTCAAAGGGAACTCTGAGGGCCAGCTCTTTTGCCACCACCAAGAACACATCAGAGGAGGTGGGTATAGCTGGACTGGCTTAGACATTTATAAGTGGATAGCATGAGAAGTGATCATCAATGATCTTTATAGCCTATTCTGACCCTGAGACCTTAAGTTTCCTTTTTGCCAAGCCTAAAGTTGCTACAAAGGCCAGTGATTCTCAACTAGGGATGACTGTGCTATGAGGGGACATTTAGCAATGTCTGCAAATGTTTTTTGTTTGTCACAACTAAGGGCAGGAAGCAGGTTGCTATAGGCATCTAGTGAGTTGAGACCAGGGACGCTGCTAAACATTTTACAATGCACAGGACAATCCCTACAACAAAGAATTATCTGGCCCAAGACATCAATAGTGCTGAGGTTGAGAAAAATAGACAGAGAGAACAATATCCAAGTAAAAGGAGCACCAAGTGTGTAAGTGAAATACACCTATAATGAGCATGTCAAACTGCTATAAACGGAGACCACCAAGTATGTTTCTTTCATTCAGTCATTCAACAGATACTGAGTGCCGTCGACATACCATGCCCTATCTTAAGTGCTGAGCATACAGCGATGAACAAGACAGGCGAGGCTGCGCATCACCATGGAGCTTCCCTCTTAATGATACAAGACAGACCACCAGTAAACTTGTTTCAGCTGCTTACTGGTCAGTGCCCTCATGCTGCTCACAGCCTTGTGCTTTCTGCCTCATGACCTTATGATCACTCTCTGGCCTGTCACATGGAGTGGGCAGTGCCTTGGGCCCAGCAGAAAAGAAAAATCACATGGATTGTGTGCCTCAAGTCAGCTCTCAGAAGGCATCATGTATGGATGCCGTCCCAAACCTCAGCACCAGATTTTTGCTTTGTCTGAGACAGAGTTAAGTGGCTTCCTTCTGAGGCGAAGCAGAGGTCCTGGGCTGAGGTTACTCAGCTAGAAGCGGAAAGTGCTCACAGTCAAACACGATCCCGCGTTTTTCCAGATTTTGCTCTCTTCTCAAACACCTCCAAGCCTAGATTCTAGACTGTCTAAAGAGGGGACCATATCCATTTTACTTGTGAGCATATAGCTCTTAGCTTGGTACACAGAAAACACTCAGCAAATATTTGCTGTGTGCCAATCACATGTCCCAAAATGCCCCACAGAGTCTAGGAATTCCTCAAAGGGCAGCAGTGGGATGACCACTTCAAATCCCAAGGCTCCACTCACTCTGCCCTGCTCAGCTTTGAGCAGGCCCAACATAACTCACACCACCAAACTCAGAGACGAACTCACCACGAAGCCCAAGAGGCCAAAGCCCCTCTCATGCATAGGTTCCTAGTCCAGGACCTAGGAGGGACCCTGGAAGTGTGTTCACAAGGTCATCTGCTTCCGTAGAACTTTCAAAAATATCTTTATACTCTTTCTTTAAATCAAGGACATCAAGACTGTATGAACATCAATCTGGATCTGCCTCGACTGACCCTAACATCATGATTACACTGAACTGCACGACCCTTAATACCTAGGTGCTTTTTTCTCATTCAAACTCAGTTCACTCAGATCTGTGAGCTTCTAATGACAAAAACCATGATTCCTTTTTTTTTTTCTCTCTTCTCTTTTTTTTTTTTTTTTTTTTTTTTTTTTTTGAGACAGTCTCACTCTGTTACCCAGGCTGGAGTGCAGTGGCACGATCTTGGCTCACTGTAGCCTCCGCCTCCCAGGTTCAAGTGATTCTCTCACCTCAGCTTCCCTAGTAGCTGGGAGTACAGGCACATGCCACGATGCCCGGCTAATTTTTGTATTTGCAGTTGAGACAGGGTTTTACCATGTTGACCAGGCTGGTCTTGAACTCCTGGTGATCTGCCCACCTCGGCCTCCCAGTGTTGGGATTACAGGCGTGAGCTGCTGTGCCTAGCCAAAAATCATAATTTCTGATATTATATACTTAGTAGATGCTTATTAATTTCTTGACTGGCCCACTCACTTCTATATCTATGGACACCATGTGACAAAGCAGCTAACAGGTGTCTCATAATCACAAACGCATGAGAAAGTGCTTACAGAAGATGCAGACTGGAATCACCTAGTCCAAGCCCATGGTTTACTTTAGAGTAAGCAACATTCAATCCTAAATTTCCAATAGCCTAGAATTCCAAACAGCAAATTCTAGAAGTTACTGAGGCAGAACATCTATCACTTTGAGAAAGCATGATTCTTACTCTTTTGCAGCACTTTTAAAGAGAAATTAGCAAAAGGGCAACATGAAGACCCTTACAGTAATGGAAATGTTCTGTGCCTTAACCGTATCAGTGTCAATATCCTGCTTGTAATATTGTACTATAGTTCTGCAAGATGTCACCATTGGGAGAAACCGGGCAAAGCATATGTAACACCAAGGTTGAGAAAACCTGTATTACACTAAAGCATGTTTCTGTCTTATAAGTCTTTTTGCTGAATTGAACTTGTAACCACAGCTATGATGCTATCCCTAGAAATAAACGTAGACAGTGGCTCTCGACATTGTAATAGGAAAGATGAGAAAATTAGCATATTATGCTTTCTTCCCTATCTTTTGCTAAATTTTTAGTTGTATTAGTTATATTTTAGTCAGTATTTTAAAAAAATTTTCTACTTTAAAAAGATTATAGGCTGGGTGCGGTGGCTCAAGCTTGTAATCCCAGCACTTTGGGAGGCTGAGGCAGGCAGATCACGAGGTCAAGAGATTGAGACCAACCTGGCCAACATGGTGAAACCCCGTCTCTACTAAAAATACAAAAATTAGCTGGGCGTGATGGTGTGTGCCTGTAGTCCCAGCTACTTGGGAGTCTGAGGCAGTAGAGTTGCTTGAACTCAGGAGGCGGAGGTTGCAGCGAGCTGAGATTGTGCCACTGCACTCCAGCCTCTCTCTCCCCCTTTCTCTTTCTCTTTCTTTCAAAAAAAAAATTAATAACCTCATGTTCTAAAATTATAATTATGTTTACATGGTTTTATCATAGGTTGGTTCTAAAATAGAAAACACTTAATAATTTTAAAAATAGTAATTAAAAAAAATAAACAAGTCCCAGGTTTTTATTTGAATTTTTTTTCCTTCAGGAAAGAAAAATATATTAGTCAACCTCTTTCTTTTTTTTTGAGATGAAGTCTCACTCCTGTCGCCCAGGCTGCAGTGCAGTGGTGCAATCTCGGCTCACTGCCACCTCTGCTTCCCGGGTTCAAGCAATTCTGCCTCAGCCTCCCGACTAGCTCGGCTTACAGGTTTCTGTCACCATGTCTGGCTAATTTGTATTAGAGTCTGTCTCAGACTCCCAAATTGCTGGGATTACAGTGTGAGCCACTACGCTCAGCCAAAAATAACATAATTCTTAAAGGAGAAAGTTAAGAGTAAATGTTTCAGAGACGATGACTTAAGTGTACCAAAGATAGCTCATAACTCAATAAGGGTATTGAACATAATGAAATCAATGCTGAAGGCAGCTGGGCCAGTGGCCCCTCTTCTTGGGAAGTTTGGCTTTGAGACACACAGCTAACAGTTTAAACCTCTTCTGTCCAAGAATAAACAATGTATGTCATGTTTTTAAATGGCAGTGCAGTCTTGCATGGTAAAACCATGGGAGGGATGGTTTAAATGTAACAGGAAGCATTTCACAAGGCAACCACAGGAAAGGCAAAAGCAAATTCAGTCTTCAGAGAGGCCCAGACAACTGGAATCCACGTTACAGCTTGCACAGCTAAACCAGAGCCAAGGGGCCACTACTTATTTCATTTTGTGTACTGTGAGGAGGTAAAAACATTAACTGTTCTCTGGGACTGTGGAATACAGGAAAGATGTTTGACTCTATTATACTTTTAAACCCTAAATCACATGTGAAAAAATCAGTCAAAAAATGAAATTTGCTTTGCTTTGAAAACATTCGACTTGTTTTTAAAAGAAAGTATACAATGTGTAGAAAGAACGAACACTCTAGAGAGACTGAGCTCTGCCTTCCACAGGCCACCTGGCCTAGGACTTGTTGCAGTGACTCTAGGGGCACTTTACTGATGGGAAAAATGCAGAGTGGGACCAGAGGAAGGCAATGCAAGCTGACATTCCTGGGGGGCTCTGTTGAGACCACACTGTTTCAAAAGTCTTCAATCAGAAGGCCAAGAACTCTCCAGTCCCACACACCTTCTGCCTCCCATCCACCTGCTTCCTCATATAATGTAAACCTCCCTGACCCCTGTAGACAGTAGGTCTGCAACGCTTAGGGACACAACCTCTCAAGCCGTGTCGATTCCTGCCATCATCCTATGATCATGGCACTACTGTTAATAACTTTTCAAAAGTGCTGTTTAGGTCATTATGATATTGAGCTACCAGATAACACAGCAAATTGGAAAACTGAGTATCAATCAATCTCTAAAACTGTCAACACTGTACCCCGTAGGTAGAGTCAAAATACGGAAGGTTTAAACTAACATACAAGAGTAATTGTATAATCAATTTTCTTAAAAAACCCAAATCGCAGAGCTTATTGACTTCTGCCTTATCAGTAGATCTAATATTAAAAGCAATCTTTTCAATAACTTCTGTACTCTGATTTCTGCAAAGGTGCATACTAGGGTATAATATATGTTTTTGTTCTAAATAACTTTTAAGCAAACTCACGTATTGGAAAATATATTGGTAATATGCTTCTAACACCATTAAAGCAATAACATGAAAATTATCACTGGAATAAGAAAGGCAGAGGACACAATTCTTTGAGATGAAAGCAGAGAGGAGAGGGGTATTTTCCACTGTTATCCTCGCTAATGTCCAATATTCATTTTGTTTGTCAAGTATATTACTTGGTCCTTCATGTCATACAGACCTTGCTTGGAGTTATCACAAAAGAACCACCATGAATACAAATATATATACTAACTTTACGAGTCAGTGGATGGCAGCTGTCTCCCAGTTTGCCCATAGGTGTGCAAATCCTTATGCTCTTAACCCAGATACTGACAGCACAGCACATGCCTCCACCACACTGGGAGTCCTTGTCACAAGCCTGAAACGTAATAAACAAACAGATAAATATAGATGACGGGAAAGACTCAGGCTAAGGAAATCTAAAATTAGCAGGAAAAATACGCTTTAAATATCCAAACACTTCGACTTTGATAATCAGATATATTTTTAAAAAAATGATAACGTTCATTTGCTTGTGTCTATCTATGATAAAATCCAATCAGAATAGATATTTCTCATTTTTTGAAATTAGATTAAATTCTAGCCTCTGGATTATGAAAATCTTAAATAAACAAGATTAAACAAATGAAATCAGCTCTCCTTTTCCAGCATTTTATGGCTGAATTGGCTTTGAACTTGAAGAACAAGACTATATTAGTCTTATACTACACATGGCCATTAGGAACTACATAAATCGAATCACGAGATTTTATGACTATTAACTGCAGAATACATTGGGCCCAATTTTAAAAAGAGATTTAAATAGTCTTTAAATCTGGCAAGAAACACTCCAGACCCATAAAGGCACTGATGTAAATTTTAGAAGTGCTCATTTTCCCTTTCAAATATTTGCATTTTGGTTCACGAGACTTGACATTTCTCACACCACTGACTTGCTTTTTCACCATTTTCTCTTTAAAGAAATCTCATAGGTTGAGAATGGACAGATCAAGATGCTTACCTTATGTTACTCTTCCTACAGGTTAATAAGCTGCAAAGAGCAAATGACTGGCTTAGGATAAACATACATATATATTACAAAATCAGCTGACGGAGCCTGTAAGATCCATCAGATTAAGAAATGCAAGCGACAGGTGCAATTGTCAACAGCGATTACTCAAGGCACCTGCTTTCAATATAAAAAGTTGTAAATACATACAAAGAATCAACTATGCAGGAATGTCCAAACTCTACTAAATAGAAATAAATAATGTAGTCTAAATTTATTTGCATGAAAATGGATCTGAAGAACTATTATTATTTCCTAGAACCAACAAAAAATAGAATGCTTTTGTTTCAACCATGGGCAGTAATCTGTTTTGCTAGTGGTAAGATAAAAACATCTTGTACTATATACGTAAGAAACTAAAACATCTATAATTTAGGCACAAATTTAAATGTAAACTTAGTGGAAACAACTAAAACTGTCTTTCAGAGTTCTGAGTTTTGAGGAAAGTCAGAATTCTCAGGACATAAAAATATGGGCACATTCTTAACATTATTTCTCATTAAAAGTAACCAACTACTTTCCTTTAAAGTTCATTTACTTCCCTCATTAGAATTTCTCAGTCTATTTAAAACAAGTATCTGGATAAAAGCTAAAAATTTCACTTTGAGGTATTTGGATTTTATAAGACAATATATAAATGTTTCCATTTTCCAATTTTTATCTGCATGCCAGAAAACATGTATATGTAGCCATTACATTCCATAAATAAGACGTCTAGTTAATGATCTTTTACAATATAGTTTTAACAAATCTATATGGCCATATAAATCAATTTCAAAATACCGACATACATTACCTAAAAAACTGTGGATGTAAGGCGGAAGTTTTAGCCAGTATTTTATTTCAACAGATGCTCAATATCCCAGATTTTGAGGCCCCACGAGCTTTTTTTTTTTTTTTTTAATGAGACAATCAAAACTCCAGTCAAAAACTTTTAAAATTCAATCACCTGCATGTTTAACATGATATACACAATATATCTTGATAAGTTACTGAGTTTTTCATTGGAATCCAGATGGTTCCTGTCATGAAGACATAACTACATTTTATTGCCCTATTGCTTTAGAGACAGTTAAAAAATTCTGTTTTTGTAACACTGAGTTAAAATAACAACAACAAAAACAGCACACACAAAACTATATAATAAGTCTAGTCTAAGCCTCTCTAACAGATAAACAGCCAATGTGATAAAATTTTATACTGTAACAAAAGCTTCAGTTCTTGGAAAATTTACAAAGAGTTGCATAGGTTTATATATTTTTAATTAGACAGCTGTTTCCTAATGCCCTTCATCCTTAACCCATTGCAAATCTATTCAGATACTGTTGTCCTGTGAATGGAACAAAAAGATACTTATATTGCAAGGGGATCTTGGGCTCAGAGGATTAGGAGAAACTTTAAATGAGCCAGCAGGGGAAGAGGGAGAAAAAAATCCAATCATGTTTCCATTCTCATGTATTAGAAAGACTTGTAAAAACTTTTTTTCAACTACATGGACTGGCAAAGCTATGCAAGTAATTTTTTTTGTAAAGAATCTCTTTTCTAATAAATACCACAGAGCTTACAGTTAAATATCTGTTGGATATATACAAATGCTGTCATATCATAAGGACTTGCAAAATGCTATAAACCTAATAACTACCATAGAGAAAACAGAGCTTTATTTTTTCAAGACAATGACATTTCCTTTAAAGTTAAATGTTATTTTATTACCTATGTATCAAGATTTCAAACAGACATCTTATTTAAATCCTACTATGTGCACTTAAATATTTGAAGTAATGTAATGAAGGTGTGAAATAATTCCTCACTTAAAAAGCAGTAACGCTGCCTGCATGCCTGCAGGCAGCAGTAAAGCAAGACATGATAGCAGTTTTGTCTCGGTAATGTAAACTAGACATTTCAGTATTGTACTGCAAACCCATTCTTCAGAAACACACAAAAATTGTTAGGAGTGGGAGAGAACTGAACTAGTTCCTACTTAAAAAAAAGATGAAGACGTCTTCTCTAAGTTTAAACATCTACACAGCAACCTACTCCACCATTATACCAGAGCGCTGAAGGTGCTTTGCCAGGAATTAGAAATTTAAAACTTTTATGAGGATACCTCAAGACACGGCGGGGAAGAAGCCCCGGAACCCTGAAGGAAGCCCTCACAATTGCTTTTCAAAGTGCTCACATGGCCCTAGACCAAGTGATTTCAAAGGGTTTCTGCGGAGGACGCAAAGGGGAGCAAACTTTGAATGTAGGATTAAGACTCAGAGCACTTGGGGATTCGTCTTGCTCCTTTGCATTTAAGGAAGGGGCCGTCAAATTTTAAGGTTCGAGGTTGGAGCGCCTCCAAAAGTACTTGAGAAGACTTGGAGAGAAACTTCTTTCAGTTTAACAAAAGGAAAACGCAAGGAGTGAGGCTGTGGGTGATAAGAAGGAAGGAGCAGAAAATGATGATAAAGGTGGTGGGCGACACCCTTGTCACTTTTCTTCCTGGACGCGCCCAGTGTCCCCAGCCGTCTGCTGCTTTTGGATACGGGCATTGTCCCAAGTGTCCCAAAGGTCAACTAGGGCAGGTGTCCCCGCCCAGGGCGACCCTCCCTTTACATCTAGCCTGCCCTTCAGGGCTCTGTCCCAAACTCCCAGGCGCGCATCAGGGGCGGACAGGTGCGCCCCGGCCGCTTACCCCGGTGATCACGGCGGCGTCTCCAGCGCGGGGGGTGAGCAACAGCGGTGGCAGCAGCAGCAGGAGCAGGAGTGGGGCGCAGCGTGGGCTCCTCATAGTGCCCTCGGGACTGGACGGCCGCCGGAGACGGTTAGGGGCGCGGGGGCCGGGGCGCGCTGGGTGGAGCACGGCGGACGGGCAGGCGCGGACAGGCGCGGCGGCTCCGGCGAGCCTCCAGGCCGTTATAAAGGCGAGCGCCGCCGTGACTCACGCCGGCGCCCGCCCGGCAGCACACGCGGGGGGCACGGCGCGGCACACACCCCACGCCCCACGCGCACACGCGCGCCCGCCCTGGCCCGGCCGGCTCCCAGGCAAGCACGTGCTGCGAGCGTCCCCCGGCTCCCCCCCTCCCCGCTCCCGCCCCGGGCGCCACGCAGGCAGCACTCCCCGCAGGGCGCCCCGCTCCGCGCAGTTCCCTCCGCCGTCGCCTTGCCGCCGCCTTTCGCACGCTCCGGAATCGCTTTTGTGGTCTCCGAGACACTGTTTTGCTGTCCTGGTTTCCAAAGCTCCACGTGCTCAGCACCGAAAACTTGCACATCATTTGCTCTACAGATGTTTACGGGGCGCCTACTACGTGCCGGGCGTTGTGGACACATAGCAGGCGCGGGGTGGCGGGGGGGCGGTGGGGTGGGGTGTGGCATTGAGGGAGTGGCAGCAGCCCCTGAATCCGTTCGTTTGCTCAGCAGATCTATACCCGGCGCCCGCTGCGTACCAGGTACTGCCACCGGCTGTGCCCTCATGGTGGAATAACTTAACAGAGAAGACAGACATCAAATGCCCTGGAAATGTGGAAGGCAGGGGGAAAGGACAAAGGGAGGGCAAAATCGGCCCAATCCCACACCCTCGACAACGTGGAAGGATTTGTCATTCCAGCTGCGGGAGTCCTGTTTGTTTCTTTCATGTCAGATGCCTTCCCTTTATGCCCACATCTGTTCCCGACCCTCTCCTCTGACTTTCCTCACATGTATTTCCTCCCCTCTCCAGCCCCGCACCAGCTCCAAGCCCAGTCGTTCAGGGTGATGCCAAAGGGAAATGAGAACGCCTGCTTTCGAGTGCCAGCCTGAGGCGCCTTAAGCCCTAGGTACTCAGCTCTCTCTTCTTACTTTAACTTTCCAGCCCAGGAAGATCACCCTTTGGTCTTACACATGCAATAGGGCGTTACTGTGATTCGTTCATTCACGTAAACATGAAATGAGTTTCTAGTGGGTTCCAGACACACCAGGAAAGGACAAGTGACAGATTTGCCCTCCATCTCTGACCCTGGGCGGGCTCCAAGAATTCTAGCCTGTTTCCCTCAGCAAAAATTATATCAAGAATACCTAGATGTGAGTACACCAAACTTGCTTGCCCGTTTTGGGAAACCCAACTTTCTTCCTGAATAATCTGGATTTCCTGGTCTCGTAAGGACCACAAACTGTCGAAAAGCAGATGCATCTTTCAGCCTCATTATTAAATGCCATAAGGAGAGTTGAGACAGAGTTACTTTCAGACTGTGGGGCTCCCCCATGCCAAAGCATTCAGACGAAATGTGGGGGTTGGGGGGGGGGTGGAGCGCAGGCAAGCAATTATCTGAATGTTAAACATCTGAATATGTGGAAACCCCAATCTTTGGCTGATTTTTGAAAACCTTTTTCACACATGTTCCCATGTTTAAGAAACACCCTGAAACAGAAGACACAAAAGGAGACAAATCCTTTTTTCAACTTAAAAAAAATGTTAAAATTGGACTCACAGTGGAATAAGTAGAAACAGTAGCAAGTGACAGACTTGTGGAAAGTTTCCTTTTCCAGTATCCATGCCAACGCTAGCTTGGGAACGCTGCCGGCTAAATGTAAAAACCAGTCAACATGGATTTTAACATTCCTGTGACTTTTTTTTTTAATGGTCTATTTCATATTCGCTACTATTGAATGCCAGCTTGGGTATTCCCTGCTTCTTCAAGCATAGAAAATATGATATGTCTACATAGGAAAAATCAGATTTCAAGTGGCTGGCTTCTTACGCAGCTGTTTGGGAAACAGTCCTCATAAAGCTGTTTTGAAACAAGGGTGAAAAAAAAAGAAACAAGTTTGGAAACACTTAAAAATAGGGTTGGTTTAGTTTCATGTTGTTTCTTTTGGAAATTTTAATTGTTTTAATGCTTTAGAGAAGAAATGAAGGCTCTTGATATGTCATCTTTGCATCTGAGGCCAAGTTGAACATTGAAGTCTGGCTTCAGTTGTTAAAAAGGGAAAAATGAGAAAAATGAGTCTGGATTACTCCATTAAAAAAGGTAGGAGGTGCAATTTGGCAATGATGAATAGAAATGGAAGAGTAGTTTATTGATTCTGTTCTATTACTGTGACCTGTTGATGTTGCCACATGATCAATTCCATCCAGGCATAACTATCAGGTGAAATGAGCCTGTGTGTGTAAAGTGTAGCCTACCATATTCCAGCAGACTACCAAGGTTCAGCTTAAATGAAAACGCAATCTAGGGGGGTCTACAGAACCCCATGTTTGTGAGACAGGCTGTCCTGGATTGGAATCCTGTGTGACCACTGGGCCAGTTACATAACCTTTTGAAGCCTCTGTTTCCTCTCCTACAAAATGGGTATAAAATACCAACCTCATGGGCTACAACCCCTGTGGAATTTAATAATACCTGCAAAATGCTTATCACAGTGTTTAGAACAGACGGGGAGCTCTGTCAAGGTTACCTTTAATTAAGCCTTGTTATTTGGTCTCCCCTGACAATTTCAGCCAATGCTGATGCAGATCTTTTCTGTCTTGCCCACTACATTAGATTGTATACTTTTTGTGATTAGGATCCTTGTGTCTAATTTTGTATGCATTCCTCTTGGCACATAGCATGATAATAGGCATATGGTAGGCATTCAGTAAGTAGTGACCAGCAACAGGAACATATCCCAGGAAGGACAGTCCAGAGATAGTTACAAGAAGATGATCTACAGTACAGACTCATGTCGTTCATATGAATCCATCAAAGGTAGTCACCAAAAAGCAAGAGAGATGGAAGCTTTACCTGGTGCAGGTGATTCAGCTTACTCCTGTACTTGGGGGCTGTGTGACTGGAATGAGGTTAGTTTGGAGACACAGATCTGTCTCCTGGCAGTCAGTCTGGGACTTGGACTGACTAATAACGCTCCATTTCAACATGTGCTTCATGATTGCCAGTATAGTGGCCTATATTGTGTGTGCCCTAGAAAGCTGTTTTCAAGGCCTAAGTCCTGGTACCTGTGAATGTGACTTTATTCGAAAATAGGGTTTTTGCAGATGTAATCAACTTAAGATAAGGTCATGCTTTATTAGGATGGGTTCTGAATTCAGTGACTGGTGTCTTCATAAGGGAAAGGAGAGGGAGAGTTGGATACAGAGACACAGAAGAGACTACCCCACAACACACAGAAGAACGCCAAGTGAAGGTAGGGGCAGAGATTAGATTGATGCTTCTACAAGGCAAGAAACACCAAGGATTGCCAGCAGCCATCAGGATCTGAAAGAGCAAGGAAGGATTCTCTCCAGATTCTTCACAGGGAGCATGGCCTTGTCGACTCGTTGATTTTGGACTTCTAGCCTCCAGAACCACAAGAGAATCAATTTCTATTGTTTTAAGCCACCCAGGTGTGGTAATTTATTATGGCAGCCACGGGAAACTAACATAGTTGGGTGCAGCCAGAGGGTTGTACACCAGCTTTCTCTACCTGGAATTGATGCCTACCACTTTTGCTCACTTTTTAGTGACCAAAACAAGCCACGTGACAGTCTTTCTTCAAGGAGACAGACAGTGCACCTCTGTCACTGGTTTTGGAAGACAGCAAGGTATCAGGTGAGCAGTGCTATATTCTACAGGAAATGAATCATTCATGGCTTGGACTCCTTAATGAGCGTAATGAACTTTGAATGATGTTAGTAATTGCTATTATAAATAATAATGCGTAATTTCCTTTGTATTTTTTTCTAGTTCAGAATTCTTTATACCAGAATTATACAGACTCTGAAAGTGAGTAAATGTGTAAGCTAATACTTTCTTTTGGGTGGGTAGTAAACCACAATTTATTCATTCCACAGGTATTAACTAAGACTTACTATAATCCAGATGTTGTATGCAGCATAGTGGGTACAAGGGAAAGCATCTGAGGAAACCTGAAGCTTTCCTTATCTGAGATTAGAGCTGAAGCTTATGCAGAATTCAACTGAGATGAAGAATGGAACAGGGCTGGGGGCAGTGGCTCATATGGGTAATCCCAACACTTTGGAAGGCCCAGAGAGGAGGATCCTTTGAGCCCAGGATTTCTAGACCAGCCTGGACAAAACAGGAAGACCCCCATCTCTACAAAAATTTTTTTTTAATTAGCTGGGAGTGGTGATGGGCAACTATAATCCCAGCCACCTGAAGAATCAAGGTGGGAGGATCGCTTGAGCCCAGGAGGTCAATGGTGCAGTGAGCTGTTATTGTACCACTGCACTCTAGCCTGGGTGACAGTGAGACCCTGTCTCAAAAAAAATATAAAAATAAAAAATAAAACAGCAGACTTGGAGGATGGCTGGGCATTCCAGGCAGTGCAGACAAAAGGGTAGCCAAGGTGGCCCAAGGAATGAGCCTCAAGGGAAGTCTGGAACAAATACGGAGCCAGAGTGATGTCAGGGACCCTTTGCAGGGTCTTACGTAGGCCACACGAAAGATCTTGGTCTGCATGGTCAGTTGGGAAGGAGAAAAATCCTAAGGATGGGGCAAGTGTGACATGAGCAGCTTTCTAAGGAAGACCTCACTGCAGTGTGACTCAGCCAGTCCACATCCCAACAGCTTCTGGCACGCTCCAAACCCCTTTGGTTGAAGGCAACTCTATCCTTCCAAAGATGGCCTTGGAATCATCTTTAACCCTTCTCTTTTTCTCACGCTTAAGGCCCATCTGTCTGGAAATCTTGTTGCCTTTGGAAGGCAAACCTACTTTCCCTTCAATATGATATTGTAGATTATCATATTAGTGATAATATTTTATATTACAATAAAACACAAATACAAAATAAAATAGAATATATTCTAATAAAATATATCCAGCCACTCTGCCCTCTGTCATGCTACCCTTCTTGTTCTGAGTCCCTGTCACCTCCAGCCTGGATTACTGTCACTGTCATTACCGCAAGACTGGCCTCCCAGGTTTATCCTTGCCCTTATATTCTATTATCAATGCAGCTGCCACGCCTTTTTTT